GAGCTTGGAGGAGGTGATCCTTGAAATTCAGCTACCGTTCTTGGACCCCTTTGCCTTCCAGGGCTCTATCCCATGGGTCTCTACTGAGTAGATCCTTGAAGAGGCCAACATGTGGTCTCCTAAAGTCCAGGACAGTGAGCTTGCTGCATGCCCTCCTCACTGCCCTGATGATCTCAGAATTTCCCATCTCATGGTAACTGCAAGTTTGGCTGCCTTGGAGCACTACATACCCCACCAGTTCCTCTGTGTTGGTGAGCACAAGGCCCAGTATGGCATCTCTTCTTGTTGGCTCTTCAATCACTTGTGTAACGAAGTTCTTGTTGACCATTCACAGAAGCTCCAGGACAGCTTGTGCCCTGTTAAATCACCTCCTACAGGGTGATTTAAATACCCCAGGAGGACCAGGTCTTGTGAGCATGGGGCTACTCCTATCTGCCTATAGAAGGTTTAATCCACAACATCCTCTTGATCAGGTGGCCTGCAACAGACCCCCCATCTGTTACATAGTCTACATATAGTCTGAACTATAATATCTCTTGTCCATGCCCTCCCTTAATCTTCATCGACAAACTTTCAGCTTACTCCTCATCCTCCCTCACTCAGAGTTCCATACTCTCCAGCTGGTTATTGACATAGAGGTCTACACCCTCTCCTCACCTCCCTAGTCTGTCTTTCCTAAAAAGCATAAGACATTCCATTCCAGCGTTCCAGCCACAGGAGCCATTCTGCAATGCCTCTGTGATGCCGATAATATCATATCCATGCAGGTGTGCACACATTTCTAGTTCCTCTTCTTTGTTCCCCATACTGTGTGTGTTCATGTAGAGGTATCTGAGCTGGGCCCCAGATAAAGGCAGCTCACTGGCTGGAGTATCTGAAATGCCTTTGTGCTGTTGCAGGTATCCATTGTAGGTATTGGCACTCAGCTGGCAGGATTGTGATGGCTAGGTGCCCCTCTCCCCCAAAAAATCCAGTTTAAAGCCCCCTTCACTAGTCTGGCAAGTCCCTGACCAAAGATACTTTCCCCCTTCTTTATCAGATGGACCCCACAGCCCCCATTAAACCAGGCTTGGCAAATCGAGTCTTTTGACTGAGTTGAAACCATAGGTGGTTCTCTTCTGGTTTGATGAGTGATGACACTCTGAGTTCTGCATCCTACCTTTGTGACCTGCCTGTATGAACTGCTGTGCCAACTGCCATGCCATGCCCTTCTGACATGCCATGTCCTGTTTGCCCACGCTTTTTGCCATTGTCCTGGTTGTTTGCAAACCCTGGAGCCTTTTAAATCTCCCTCAGATGATCCTGACAATGCCCCCTCTTCTCCTGATTGGTGGCCAGGTCCTAACAGAGCTTTAGGCTGCTGGTCAGGTGTCCCTGAGCTCTGGAACTGCCCTGTACAGCACAATCCAACATTCAAACCCTGCCTTACCTCACCAACTGACTCTTGAAGTTGAACATTTTACCCTAACTCAGAGGAATATTTCATTTCAGGATGGTATTCATGTTTTAGTCATTTAAACTAATGCTACGTAAGTGTGTGCATGATGTGATTAAGATGTTCTTAATGTTCAGCAATGAATTTGTACTTCTGTGTCATATTTATTCTATTTTCATCTCCTGTCTTTAAGATAAACCTTTGATGTTAAACAGAGAGGCAGTGCTCCCTCCCTTGCAAAGGCGCAATGCCCTGAGGCCTACTTACCGAAATACCTCTTCAGCATTGTAAGCTGTAACATCCCATCTTCAGGGGGTGGTTCTTATTATTCAGACCCAGACCTGTGAGGGAAGGATATACCATTCTTTCTGTACTGGCAGAGCCAGGCATAATGGATTAGCCCTGTTACTGCAGACGGGATGGGCTTGATTGTCCATCTACAGCCCAGGGGGAGATTTTAGCTCTTCTGCGAAATGCTCTCTACTCCTCCTTCTCAACACTTAAAGCTGTTTGCCTTCCCAGTGTGGCTCAAAACACAAATTATGCCAGGACTGTGCCAAGCTATTGTAAGAAAGAAGCTGTTGGGATATTTACTTGCCTTCAACCCCCTCTCTGCCTTCTACATTAGCAGTTGATTTCCTATGTGTTGCTCTGACAGGGAGCTTCCTGCCATAGCTTCCTCGAGTGTTGTAATTCCAATATGAACATCAGTACTTTAGATACACAATGTAAAGCTGTTTAAAAGCCCAGCACAGTCATCTGCTGCTTGAGATAGATAGCTTGCAAAACATAAATTCACTAGCGTCTCTAAATATGTTCTCCAATTTTTCACTCCCTACGTTTCTGAGGGATGGAGGATGTAAATCATTTTGCATACATCAATGCAAATGCAATTCAGCTTAGTACTGGCATGTAGTCTAATTGCCTTTAAAATGGAATTTTGTTTTTTGAGTGCTAATTTTCAGGTAATGACTTTCTAATTGATTTTCTTTTTATGAAGGACC